AAAAAATATCCTTGAAATTATTAGACGCAAAATCCACGAAACCTATCCACCCGACCACCTCCTTCCAAAACAACAAAGAAACTCGACACAATAAGAGTATGATCCAACGATTCACTCATAACTAGACAAAACACACAAGCAAGATCACTATTAGGGAAGGATATTCCTCTAATAAGCAAATAATCTCTAGTTGGCAACCAATTAATAAAACATCTTTACTCAAAAGCCTTGACTTTAGAGGGCACCTCCATCTTCCACACCAAGCTCAAATCCTTATCATACTTATTGCAAGGAACAAAGGGGATGTGATACTTACTTGAGATAGCATAAAAACCTCTGACCGAAAACCCACCAACCACATCCAACGCCCACTTTACATTGTTAGTACTGGCAGCAACCAGATTCATGCACATGAGCAGAATTCATAACAGCTGCAACTCGAAATCAACAACTCCAGACGGTGAAACAACCACCCCAAAGTCCCCCCATATCCAATGTCCACTGAACCAAGCACCCATGCAAGCTACAACCACCTCTTTCAAGTTTGATAAATAGAAAAGGAAAGGAAAATTTTCCTTGAGGCATAAATCCTCAAGCCAAACAGAATGCCATAAGGAAGTTATAAAACCTTTACCAACAATAAATCTGCAATTAGAAACAAAAATGTTATCTGGGATATATTTATCCAAACAAGTCAAATCTCTGCCAAGTACAGATGAGAAACCTCCAATTTTGATTATTGTCAGAATTCACAACTTGCAAATTAATATCACTATAACGGGCCTTCAACACTTTATACCATAAAGCTTTTGATTCGACTAAAATCCTCCACCTCCACTTGTGAAGAAGTGCCACATTAAAATCACCAATCCTTCTTAATACAAGCCCTCCATTTTCAATTGGAAGACAAACAACCTTTCAAATCACCCAATGAATCTTCCTATGGTCCTCCAAACCTCCACAAAGAAAATTACTTTGTAATTTATTCATTTATTTGATAATCTTCACCGGATCTTTGTAAAAAGAAAGCATAAATATTAAGAGACTAGACAACACTGATTTCAAAAGAGTTAATATAACCCCAAAACTTAGCAATCGACTCTTCCAACACGAAAGCTGATTCTTCATCTTAGTTAAAAGCCCTATCCATGTTGAGATTCTTCTAGTGTTGAACCCAATAAGAATTCCAAGGAAAATGAATTCTTTTTCCTCCTTCCTATAAGAGAGAAAGGTATTAGAAACCTCCATGAAATGAGGATTAATATTCACCCCAATAAGATAACTCTTGTAGAAATTAATCCATAAACCTGAAACGAGCTCAAAACCCCTTAACAACGCTTTGATAGCCTCAAATGTGCTTCCAACTACCATCTTCCACCATTGACGTATCGTCCACAAATTGAAGGATGTCCATAAAGCATTTGTCGTTAATGTCAAATCCATGTATTCACCATTCTCAACGGACTTCCTTACCACCCCTCTTAAACCTTCCGCCACAATCACAAAAAGAAAAGGAGAAAGAGGATCACCTTGTCTCAATCCGCTCTCAATCACAAACTCCTTCACAGGGCTACCGTATACCAACACCGACACTTTGCTAGTAAACACTAAAGCTTCCATCCATTTCATCCAAACTTCACCAAAAACACATCTTCCTTAACATGAACTTTAGGAAACCCCAACTAACTTTGTCGTAGGCTTTTTCAAAATCAACTTTAAAAAGAAGGAAATCTTTCCTTTTCTTGTTTGCAAAATTCATCAATTCATTAGCCACCAACACATCATCAAGCAATTGTTTACCCGGTACAAAAGCACTTTGACTATTGGAAATGATTGAATTCAAAACCCTCTTTAATCTTGCCGCCAAGAGTTTAGAGATACATTTATAAACACAACCTACAAGACAAATAGGCCTATAATCATCCAAACCCAACATATTAGATGACTTCAGAATCAAAGTTAAAAAAGAAGAAATGAAACTTTTAGACAATACGACCCCAGAGTAAAAGCTCGTAAAGCATCTAACAAAATCATCCTTCAAGAAAAACCAATATTTCTTTATGAAAAGAAACAAATAACCGTCGGGACCCGGACTTTTAGAACCCTTACACCCCCACACCGCCTCTTTTATCTCACTTTTTGAAAGGGGGCTTCTAGAAAGGATCCCTCGGATTGATTAAGATCCTTAAAAAGAAGACCATCAAGAACCAACCTATCCTTATCCAGTTCGTAAAATTTAGAAGCAAAATGATGCCGAACCTCCTCCTTGACCTCCTTAACTGAATCCATAATTCATCTATCAGTGACAATAGAGTCAATGTGGTTGCACATCCTCCTTTCTTTCATGACCCTATGGAAGTATTTTCTATTCGAATCTCCATCATTAAGCCACTTTAATCTCGATTTTTGAATTAGCATACTCTCATTTATCCTAAGATTCAACCAAAACCTACTACAAGCCTTCTTTTTGTTCTCCATTACTCCGCCCCTAAAATATCACTATCATTCCCATCCACGTCATCTCCTTCGTTCACGACCCTAACTCCCCCCTCTATCTCTAAGTTAATCTTCCCGAAAATCTTAGAATTCCACTATTTGAGTCTCTCTATAAGTAAATGCAATTTCTCTTTTAGAACAAAATCGCTTCTTCCTTCGACTTCAAACTTTTTCTATTCCTTTTCTACAAAAGGAATGAAGTCTTTGTTGGAGAACCACTTATTATTAACTTTGAAAGGCTTTGGGACCAAATCTTATTTATCTACCATTAGCCAAATGGAACAATGATCCGAGATGTCTCTTAAACCGATGAATTGTCCCACCATCCCCCATCTTTCAATAATACCATCGGCCACGAGAAAATGATCTATCACACTCTTTGCCTTTCCGTCTCCGCTAAACCAACTAAACTTCTTCCCTTTACACAGGATATCAACCAAATTACTCTCGTTAATGAACTCCGCAAACTCCTCCAATTCGAATTCCTAATCAAAAAAAATCTCCCTCTTCTTTCTCTAAGGTTCTTCATGGCATTGAAATCTCCTCCGAACACCCACTCACCATTCAAATCCAAGAAAATTTTCCATAACATACGCTTCAATCCAATAGAACATGACGAATAAACATTAACGATATAGTAAAAAATATTCTTCCATATAACCTTAACTCCCAAGAAACCTGCTCCTTTAAAGCTACATAAGACTTTGACTACTGCTAATTTTCCAAAGAATCAAAAGGCCTCCAGAAAAACCATCTGAAGCAGAAAAAGAATAGTCAACCTCTTCCTTCCCCCAAAAACTTCTAGCTACAAAATCAGACATTACAGATAATTTAGTTTCCCGAACTAAAAACATATATGGGTTTCCCTTGTTGATAATATGAGCGATCCTTCTTCTCTTGACTTTGCCACTGCCCCTCTAATATTCAAAAAACCCACAATCATTGAAAACATTTAAGATTCGCCTTCCCACCCAACTTTCTAATTTTATCCTCTCTTTTCATCTCATCTATTTTTCTTTTGTAATCTCTTTTGGATTCCCCCGTTCGCAACTCCTAAATTCATGATAGCCAATTCCAAAGTTTCTCGCCCAAGTTCGAATCAAGCTCTCACAAACGGAGGTTACACCTAACAATGTCTGACTTAGATAATTGCTCACCATAAACAAAACTGCCCAAATAGCTAGCCTCATTCTTCGTTCCAGTAGAAGCGGATGACAAAGGATTTGCAATCTTCACCGCGCCTAGGGGTAGAAATAGGCTAGGCTAGGCTAATCTTTATAAGGTCTGGGCCTGGCCTACGACAAACTTAAAAGGCATGTGGCCTATTATAGGCTATTTTTTTTAGCCTGACCTTTTTAAAAGTCTGACCTGGCCTGAAAACCTATTTAAAAGCTTATTTTTCATAAAGGTTTTCAATTAATCTATATTACATAAGAAACCGTATAAGTCGGCATATATATGCATATGTAGGCCGATCTATTTAGTCTTTACTCTAATATATATATATATATATATATATATATATATATATATATATATATATATATATATATATATATATATATATATATATATATATATATATATATATATATATATATATATATATATATATATATATATATATATATATATATATATATATATATATATATATATATATATATATATATATATATATATATATATATATATATATATATATATATATATATATATATATATATATATATATATATATGCAAACATATTTAGCCTCTTTTCTAATATATATGCATATATAAGCCAGTCTATTTAGACTATTTTTAATATACATGAAAATATAGGTGAGCCTATAAGATTTTATAGATTTTTTTAATAGCCTAAGTCTGACCTATATAATTAAATAGACTTTAAAAAAAATCTAAACCTAACATTTTTATTAAATAAGTCTAATCTGACCTTAAATAAGTTAGACCATAAACTCCTGTAAACCGACTTGACTTATTCTCACCCCTAACTGCATCACCCTCAAAATGAATACTTGATGTAAAATTTTCTTAAATATTTGAATACTTTAGTTTTAGTTTGTGAGATGCTTTACCATCCAATATTAGCAAGTCCAAGTCATTTGAAGTGTTGAACATGACATTAAATTTCACATATAAAAGATAGTATGGATAAACATTTTTCTTATTTTTTTACATCACTAACATTTTTCATAGTTAAGTATATGTTAAATCGTATTCATATTCTTTATAGTTAATATATATTTCATGCAATTTAAATACATTCCAACTTTTTAAAAGTATATCTCTCAAAGACATAAAAACAATCAATTTTTTTCTTCTACTTGTTATGATTTAAAGTAAAAATATTCAGATAGATATAACTTATAGCAGCAAACATAGCATTGATGACAGAAGATAGAGAGCTTCCACAAATAACATCAACTTGAATATGAAATATTCAAGATTGCCTTTATTTCAATTACATTAATGAGGCTCAACATCAACATGTTCTCATCAATGAATTCCTTCTCCATTAAACTCCGACGCATTTTTGCGACGCCTCTCATTGTGTCCAGCCAAACGCCTTCTACAACTTCTTTTCAAGTCATCAAATTCTGATAACTCATGAAACCTACAAAAACAAAATTCCAAACACTAGTTAATTATACACATTTATATGTTTTTAATGATAATTAAATTATTTATTAGTTTTTCTTTATTTTATTAGTGATATATTGTGTCTAAAACAATTGGATGAGATGGTTTGAAATCATGGTTTAACAGAATCATTTAAAAAGTTGAACTTATAACATTTTATTGTGTTGTCAATTTCATGGATTCAAAACATGAAGTGATCACTAAAGTAGAAATGCTATATGTCTATATTTGGATTATTAACAAATACCATATTCCAGAGTGACCCTATGCTATTATTGCTATGTGATTTTGATATCAATGTCCCTGTCACACTCGAACAACAGTGCAATATGTTGGGGGTAAATAATAAAAAATAAATTAGAGCACATTACATCAATGAATCCTATAAGTTGGTATAAATACACAATGCACCTTAATAAATATTCAGGGAAATATATATAGTGTCAGGAATCCAGTGCCCACTTTTTTCCAATTGGCCAGTTGCTAAATCTTCCAAGAACTAAAACTATTATTCAGTATTTGTACAGAATTTTAGCACTATAGCTAGCTAAAGTTTTAAAAATCGGCCGCGACAAAATAATATCTGCAGATGTCAATATCGATATTATCACTGTTTTTATTTTAAAAAATAAATTACAATTAATTCACACTACAACGATTATAATCAATATCGTGTCACTTACGTATCGATAAAAATTCTAAATACCTTTACGCTTTTTAAAATCTAACTATTTCCTTGGTAGAAGTAAAAAACCAAAAGTGAAAATAAAAAACTTAATAAAAATATACAAATTTTATAAACATATCTTCAAATAAGTTACAACTATTTCAACCACTAACTTACAATTACTTTCCTATAAAAAGTGCATACATGAACCTTAAAAAAAAAATCTGAAGTTGATACTTCCTCTATAAATCAATTATTAATTTAATACATCTATTTTTTCCTAACTATTTTTTGTTTATATTTCATTTTAGAGAGACTATTTACTAACTTTAATAAAATATCCAATTTTTTTTACAAAACTCATTATTTAACAAAAAAATATAAAAGTCCACTTTTAAAGTATTATTTTAGATCCATAGTAAAAGCAAAAATTCATAAAAAAATACCCTTCAACCAAGATCAACCTAATTAGAGTTGTTTCTAGGGCTTATTAAAAATAAAAATAAAAAAAATTAAACATGACATAAATCAAACCCAAAGTGTTAATTTTTGCTGAGCCATTTCACCTCAAAGATTTAGCTTGATTATAAGGAAACAAAAAGAAAAATAAAAAAATATTTTGACTAGAAAGAAATTAGGGTTTGTGAACCTGCTACATTGCTGGCAAAACCTTTGTTGCATCTCTGAAATGAGCACAGAATGAGCCTTAGAATGGTTTTCACAAACCTTATGACGCTTATGATACTGCTTACCACCAGTTAGATCAGCATTACAGTTATCAACTTGACAAGAAGGTGTCACTGATCCACCAGCTTTTGACACTTTCCTAACATGTTCACTCACTACCCTTTTCTTCCTTCCATCATCTCCATAACTCACATCTTCTTCCTCTTCTACTTCATACTCATAGCTTCTCTTTCCCTCACCCCAACTTTCATCCATAAGATAGAGATAAGAGAGAGTATTAATGATTTACAACAAGGTTATGGTGAAGTCAAGGACAAGACCACAACTACTTTGGTGTATAAATAGAAAAAAAACACACAAGGGTAAAATAAAGAGAATGTGTGTGGACCCCACATATGTTTCTTTTTTTAATTGGTTGCCTAGTTGAGGGTAATTGTGTGATAAGTTACAAATTTATAGAGCACTACCTATAGAGCCAATGTTTATGAATAGTATATATCAAGACCTAGCACAGACTACCCTATAAATTCTTGGATAATAAATTAGGTCAAATTAAGTGTTAGGACAACTAGTTCTCACATCAACATAATCATTCAAATTTAAGATTTTTACTATTGACTAAAACATACTCAAATCAACATTTGCATGATAGAGAAACATGGAGAAATTATCCATTGTTTTTAATGTTCATTCTTTCCTAAAAAAAAAAAAAGTTTATAGGCATTTTCCAAATAATCAATTTTTTATTAACTTAAATACTTCAAAACTAATTTAAATGGTATCAAATTAGACCAAATTAAATTACATATTTTAAATTCATCATCTAAAACTCAACCAAATCATACATAATTTTAAATTGGAATCAAATATAAAATTTTTCTTCAAAATTTATCCAAAACTCCAAGAACCATATATAAGCATGATTCTTTTTAATTTGGTAAACACATGTTTCCATATTTAGTGGCTCTCAACCATGGGCGGCTCCGAGCCAAGCATTAATTTGAAAGGAATTATGCCCTTTTGTTTTTTCTTTCGATGTTGACATGCAATTTATCACCAACACAAGATACTAAAATTTGGGTGAATTTAATATAAACCTTTAAAATATATTGTAAAGATGATTTTTTTAATGAAAATTAAAATGAAAAAAATACAATATTTTATTAAAATTAGCAAAGTTTATCATTGAACCAAATCCATATTAAACGCTCTTCAAAAAGTTCAAACTAAAGTAAAAGAAAATAAAGAGTTATTTAAGGAGTGTGTGAGGAACCTTAAACTTTTTAGGTATTTGTGATTTATAGTTTTGAAAGGGATGGAATTTTAGGTATTTGTATTATCTAGAATAATCTTTCCCTTTATATCATAAATGTGTATTCCTCCTCATAGATTAGATAGATTGTACTATCTAATAGTCTTAAATCTAAGTGGGGGGTGTCGAGCCAATATGTTGGGTTATGGACATTTCATATCACTGCCTCATTTGGCTTAAGGTTAGCAAGGATGAGTGGGATCCTAAATATTTGAGAGTGTTTTCTTTTTGGTTTGAGCACCCTGATTTTTTGAGGTTTGTCAAGATTGAATGGGATGGCTTCTATGTTAGGGGGAAGAAGGAATATATGTTAAAGGAGAAACTTAAATTGCTAAGAAATAGTTTAAGTGCTTGGAATAAAACACTTTTGGCTGGTTAGATTTGAAGTTGGAGGAGAAAGTAAAGGAGTCGGTCTACTTTCATTTCTGGGAAGAATATGTTTCATGGGGGTAGTTATAGCAAATGAAGTGGCTGACCTTGCAGTGAGGAAGAATAAAAGGTGTATGATGCTTAAGTTTGATTTTGAAAAAGCTTATGATAATGTGAGTTGGAGTTTTCTCTGATATATGTTGAATAGGTTGGGCTTTCGTTGTAAGCGGATCAATTAGATAAAAGCTTGTGTCTTTTTATGGCATATATCTGTCTTGGTAAATGGGAGTCCCTATAAAGAATTCAGGATAGAAAGAGGTCTTAGGAAAGGAGACCTATTGTCTCATTTCCTCTTTGTTATGGTGGTATAAGGACTTGCTGGTTTGGTAAGAAGGGCAACTGAGTTAAGGGAGTTTAAAGGGATCAATTTTTGTGGCAATTCCTCCCATGAGATTCTCTAATTTGCAAATGTTACTCTGTTGATTGGCGAAGGCGGTCGAAAGAATTTATGGTGCATAAAATCTACCTTGAGGGGTTTTGAATTGGTTTCTAGATTAGAAGTTAATTTTGATAAAAGTAAGCTCTATGGTATTAACCTTATTACTCACTGAAGGTGTGAAAAACACAAGAAATGAGGAATTTGAATTGAGTTTTTAAAACAAAAACTTTTCTTTAAAAATTTTCTCCTTTAAGTTAAAATCATTTTTCCTTCCCTCTTGATAATAACAATAAGTAAGAACAGGAAGTAAAGAACAATGTATGTTTATACTAGTTCACTTTAAAATTATCAAGTTAGTCTAGTCCACCCGCCAAGGTGATTTTGCCTCACTCAATCGAGGATTTAATTCACTATAACCAAACTAATTACAATTTGCACAAGCTACCCGCAAGTGACTAACAACCTCTAAGACTCACAAGTCCTAGACTTCTTAAGGATACAGACCTACCCGAATCCTTAAGGAATATCAAACAATAATCAACCTATTATTATAATGCACGAGCTACCCGTAAGTGACTAACAACCTCTAAAACTCGCAAGTCCTAGACTTCTTAAGGATACATACTTACCCGGTTCCTTAAGGAAAATCAAACAATCATTTGAATACAAGGTTTATTTACAAGAATATTGCTTCTACACAAGCTGAATATGTAAACTATTTTAAGAACAATGACTTAAGAATATGAAAGCTATGAGCAGCGTTTGCACGTGAATATCTCATTGATTGACTGCTTTCTCTCTTAGTATTCAAGCCTTTATATAGACAATAAAATAATATATCTGTTGAGGGGTATTATTGATATTTCCAGAAACATTTGGCAACTTGAACAGTAATGTGGGGGACAAATTTGTGCGACGCATCCGTTCTTTCATGGTAGTGGAATGAAACGTTAATTGTATCGTTTACTATTTGTACCATGTTAATGTTATCTTCTTTTCTTCTGCACTTCAGAGGCTCCTGTGATCATGAGTTTAGAAGCGAGAATATAACACTAGGTCATAAGAGTCTTCAGAACCGCATCTTTAGATTCTTCAGCACTTAGTTGTGAGAACCTTTTCTTTGAACCTTGGATCTTTAGAACTTCAAGTCTTTAGAATCTTTAGAAATTTTGTCTTCAGCACTTGGTCTTTAGAACCCTTATCTTTATAACATTGGGTCTTAAGAAACTTGACTTTTTAGCATATGGACTTAAGTAGAAACTTCTGTCTTCAGAAACATGAGTCTTCAGCATCTGGACTTAAGTAGCAATTTCTATCTTCATATCTTCTAGATGGTTTCTTTAGACAAACATTAGAGCTTACACTTCAAAGACTTGTGGAGTGTCTTGCTACTGTGTAACAGAACTTGTGTAGCGCAGAAGAGGAACTAATTCTCTTCTAATGTCTTGGCCACGTCATCCATGAGAAGCAGAACCTGTTTGTTAAGTACTCAATAATAACAAACATTAGAGTATCAAAATTGTCCATACAAACATACTCATTTGTTATTGTTGTACCCCGATTTCCCCCCCTAAGATCCCTTCATCATACCATATTGATTCAATCACAACAAGATCACATTAGGGATTTTGGTTCTCCTCCCTATCTTTAGCTTTGCTCTTTGAGGAACCACCAAGCACTTTGACTTTTTTTTATTTTGTGATCATGTATGTTTTGTTATGACTTTCCTTTTAATTAATAAAATGCAATGTTGGTTTGTCTTACTTGTTAATAATGTAGGTAAAGGCAATATGGCTTAGCAAGTTGATCCATGGGTTCATGAGTTAATTTCCACGCCCTAGTCAATAAAGCTTGAGAAATTCAAACCTCACCATTGAAGTTGTTTTAGAATAAATGGCATGTCAAGGTTTATTTTGGTTCACCATATTTCAAAGTTATCAAGATTGATTCAAAAGTACAAGGGGTTGATTGAAGAAGTTGTCATGGTTGGACAAGGCCTTGTTCCCATTGGTCACAAGTGCATATTTCTCTCAATTCTCAAGATATGGAAGTGGTTTTGGTTGCTATGAGTTTTCATTATCATCCTCAACAACTTCTATCTACAAAGCAAAAGTGTTGATACAAGAAGGTTGTTTAAAATTTTCAAAGTTCCTCAAAGAATTTTCTTGATCTAGGAGCTAGGGTTTTAAACTTCAAAGAAGTATATCTTGCTCATATTTTGGTATTTTTGAGTGATTCCAAAAACATCCTTATATTCAAAGGGTTATTAACAAATTACTTCAAAAGTTTCAAGGAGTTTTCATGTGGAAGAAATTTGATGATGAAGAAAGATTACAAGTCCTCCAGATGAACCCCCAATTTCTCATGTGTGACTTCAAATGATCATAAATTGGTCAATTTTTATCACGTTGAGCCCACTCTTTTTCCAAAATGATCTTAAGGATGTGAACTTTAGTCCTTCTTTTATATGCAAAGTGAGAAAATGGATGGAGGATTCCTTAAGGATACAAAAGATTATAGGTCATTTCATGATTTCTTGCCAACTTCAACAATTCATAACTCTCTCAATTTTTAGAGATTTTGAATGGTTCAAGTTTCAAAATTTCATTCAAGAGGTCTATTTCATGCCATCTTTTTTGGTCAAGAGAAAATTTCAAGTGGAAGGCCATGTTTGGATACAAAACATTATAGGTCACTTTTGAAGAAAAACATAAAATATTTCTAAGTATGGAAAGTCAACCTCTTTTTCCCAACTTTGACTCATTGCAACTTTCAGCTCAAACATCCATTTGATTCCATTATTTTCCCATTGTAAAGCTTGTAGTCTCATCTTTCTAAAGTATCAAGAACCATGCCTTAAGACCCCTTGAGCTGAGAATGCCATTGTTTCCAAAGTGGTAACTTGGAATTGAAGTTTCATCGTAAGTCAAAATTTAATTTCATGTTACAACTTCTAAACCTCAAATTAGCATGCGTTTTGGATCTAAGCATGATTATCCAACTTTCCCAAGTGGATTAGTGCATTAAAACACGCATTTTGGATGAGTTTTGACAAAAGAGAAGTCACACTTTCTTCATGATGCAGACCCACACAAATTCCCTCTAAATTGCATCATTCACCATTGCTTTTGATCC